GCCTCAAGAAAGCCATTATGATACAAATTTGTAAAGAATAATCTATCTTATATCCTATTCATGGTTAATAAACACACAGAAGTAACAAAGATTTATTTTAATTGTCACTAATAACCAACTAATGTTTACCCTTATAAATATTTGGTTTCAGCTCATCCATTCCAAAAAAGGTGTAACAATGTTTGTAAACTATCTGATGTTATCAACAATGCTGCTATATAATTGCTTAATATTCTTACCAATCTTATAAACAAAACCACTATAACTTTAAACAATTTTCATAAAACAATGAAACAATCTTCATTTTTGCCAAATGTCTTTCATTCATTTACTAATTTGAGTATTCATTCATTCGCTTATTCATTTATTTGTCCCTTACGTTGACATGATCTGCCTACACAGATATATATATATAATTACATAAATGCACAGAATAATAAACCTTAATCCACACAGATATTATAGTGTACAGCGTTTCAGTGACAATAATTCACAATTCTATTGATAAGAGATAAACAAATGAATCATTACAATTCATTCCTTTTCTTCCTGGGTTGATATGCTTTTTAGTTCTTTGTTTCGTTAATTAATTTATTTTATTGACATTCAAGAGTTCCATGGAAATTGTTAAAACTTGCATATAATTCACAAATAAGTTGATATTATGTTTAATCCTTTTGATTCATATGTATCATATTAGTTTACATATAACCAAAAGGTAATTTGAACAAGAAAAAAGAATATATGCATTTCCATTCAGTTTTCAGTTTCCCCCCCCCCCACCACCACCACCCTCTATACCATAAATGCTATAGGCTTTGTACAACAAGTTCTCATATAAAATGTGATATCATTATTGTTACTATCAATATTTATTATTAACATAATGAAATGTTTTATAAGACGTATTTGTCTTTTATTCTATAATCAGAAGGGGTTTGTGAAGATTTTAGAAATTTCACAGATTGAAATCATGAGTCAGTTGAAGCTAGATCACCATGGAAAACCTGGAAGCACTGGACGGCCGTTTCGTCCTAGTATGGGACTCCTCTACTGTGTGCATCCACGATCCCGCACCCCGTGGGATTCGAACCCAGGACCTACTGGTTTCGCGGGATCGTGGATGCACACTGCTGAGGAGTCCCATGCTAGGACGAAACGGCCGTCCAGCGCTTCCAGGTTTTCCATGGTGGTCTAGCTTCAACTGACTCATGATTTCAATCTGTGAAATTTTATTCTATAACTCATAAGGAATCTAGCCATTGTAAAGTGTTTATGAAGTAAAGTAATGTATTAAAGAAAAAAAAGAACTTAGAAGATGGAAAAGTATAATCTGAATGAATTGATGATTTATTTATTAAACTCTCTTTGAAACCGACACCTTTACGTATAATCTTTGAAATAATCGTTAGTGTTCACCGTTCAATAATACAATACTAGAAGGAAGTGGGTTTTTTGATAATATTGGGTAATATTTAGTTCGTCAGTTAATCATTCCATGACGTGAAGATCTTAAATGTTACTGATCTATGCGCAGAAATAACAAAAAACAACAACAACAAATGATTTGTCTAAAATAGGATACTTGTGTTTCTAACACAAGCCTTAACTTGTTAGTGATATGATAGAATGAAAGGGTAAAATTATATTAGTTTACTCATTGTAATTTTCATTCAACATCACTTCCGTTGTTCAGGGTGTTGTATTCGGTATATCGTTAATTTATTTGAATGTGATGTTTATTCAAGATACGATATTCTTGTACAAAATTAACGTACACTATGCTCATCATGACATGCAGCATGTAATTTGTCATAACTTTGGATATTTACTACATATGTTATTTCATCCTAGTTAATAATCAAAATGGATGTACAATCGATATATATGGATGAGTGTATTTCCTACTAGGGTCATGTTTTGGTCTTAATAAATCTTCACTTATATCAGTCTTGGCGTTCTTACTCCAAGTCGCAGGGATTGCAGCGATTCCTCATTCTTTCAAGTATAAAAATAAGTGACGTGGATATGATACTGAGATGCAAAAGGCGTTTACTGTGTCATTTTAAAATCAATGAACAAATGTTTTCCGTTATATTAATATAGAAATTAGGTACAAAAACATTAAAAATGATTGATCACTGAGTGATGATCTATGACCTGTATGTCAAGTCCTTCATAATGCGGATCGAATGCCATCGACCGAGTTGAAATGTGGTCACTGGTTTAGGAACTCGACATTGCGTGCACTATGTTGAGATAAAATGGTGATTGGAGATAGTCAACAGGAAAGCCTGGACCCAGGTTTCGTGCTGTTTGGCACTCGTCAGCAAGGTGTACCTGTAATCTTGAGGGAACTGGTGCTCCCTGACAGATTCGATCCCGTACCACCCAGCTTCCCGGTCAGAGACGTTATTGCTGGGCTATCCGGGCTGAGATGTACTCACAACTGATTAATCACTGGGTGGTGATCAATGTCATGTGTGTCAAGGCCCTCTTAGTGCAGATCGAATGCTATCGACCAAAACATTTGATAACCGACGTAACACCCAATAGATTAATCAATAGCACGATTGTAGTCAATAATCGAACTGAGAACTAAGAACACAAAATATGTAAACTGTTATAAATAAATAAGTGTTCAATGGACACAAAATAAATGAAAACAAGTATTGAAAATGTTAGAACGGTTAGTTTTCCACGTTTACACTTATAGGACGTTAATTTACCTTATTCGAATATCTACATAAAATTCCCTCCCAGTGTCTATTCTACAGGACGTCAACATAACTCAGACTAAGAACACGTGATTAGCCTGACCACAACGTAAATATATTTCCACACCAAAACCCTGACACAATCCAACAACAATGAACAATCAATAATGAGTCATAATAATAATAATAAGGATAGGGGAATATGTAACTCATCTGACACCTGTCAGATCATCTACATATCTGACTAAGCAGACAACCAATCATTGTCATTCTCACCCACACATCAGAAAATGTTAATAATGTACAATTACAATTTCGTGTATGTCCTTGGGAATAATACAAACCAACAAAAAAACGCGGTAAGCCACTTTTTCGAAAATAACGAGATACATTATCTACTGAATATTAGTAAGTAACATAATATAATACATTAAAAGGAATCGGATCGGAAGAGGCAACCGATTTACTTACTTTATCCAATATTTTATTTCTAACATCAACACTGGTTACTTGATGGTTTCAAAATGTGTGATCGATGCTCCGAAGACATCTATGCTCAAACACTAGTAACCTAACATATGATACTGAATAAAGCTATGTTATTAGGTGAGACTATAATTTATGGACGACCTTTGAGCGACACTGAAGTGACCTTGAGAGTGTACGCCTACTGAATAGGACTAAGTGAGGATTATAAAGCAGTTAGAATTCTCATTTACAGTTGATTGTTAGGGTTAAAAATTAGATTTAGGGTTTTCATCACGAACTGACATCAGCTATAATGCCAAAACTTTATTTAGCCAAATGTGTGGATGAATTTCGTGCCAAAAACGAGACTCATTATTTTATATCTGATTGGTTCGTCCATAAATTATAGTCTCACCTGTTATTATTGTTATTATCCTTTCTAAATGTCGAATTTCACACTCATAAAATAGAAGAGAAAGATAACTGCTGAGTAGTATACTCGTCATTTTTGTTAGTAGACGGAAGTCTCTCCTACACTACAAGGTAACATAAATGAGAAAAACTCGAAAAACAAAACGACGCACGAAAGAAACGTAAAATTACTTGAATACAAATTATTCATTTTACAAATATACATTTATTTGTTTGAACACATATATATTAGTATAAAGGAGCATCAAATACATGCGCCGCACAGTAACAATGAGAATGTGAAGAGATAGAGAATGTATGGTGCGTATAAGAAAAATGGGAACAATAACGAACATAAATTAGTGTATGAGAGTTAAATTATAATAATGGGAAAAGCAGTTCAGTCAGAAAATGTACTGTTATATCTAGAAGGTTGTTCTTGATATACCGTGTATAACGTGAGCACTAGAACGCCAAAACCCTTGCAAGTTGCAATGAGAAGACAGAAGACTAATGAAAGGGATATTTTCCCCAGACAGTGTCAATTACAATACAAAATTTTCAGGTACTAATAGTTTTTAGTAAAAACGAAATCACCATTACAGTCCTCCAATCCACATACAGGGGGTTATTAGCATTATCCAATCGGGAAGCTACACGTAGGGATTCTAGAATATTCTTTCAAAAGGTGATTGGGTGGAATATCTACGGCTCCTTCTGAGCCTCCTACAGCTTCCTCGAGTTCACCCGTGGTCCGTCGTCATATGTACAACCAGGAAAATTCTTCCAGTTAAAGAAGATACGTCTATTTTTTAAGAAAAAAGTAAAATAAAGTTACAGCAGGATGGCCACTGGCTTCTATTCTGAGCCATATCTGATAACGTCTCTAGCCACTATGTCGCACCATCTCTAGGACCCCAACCAGCGAATCGTCAAGGTCCAACCGAAGCCAGTCCTGTACAGCTTTCTTTCGTACCACGACACCATGTTGTACACTGACCACCTCTCTGTTTTTTCAACCGGTCCCAGAGTTAGCAAATGATGCACGATGTGGAACTAGCTGGGACGACATTCGTAAGCCATGTCCAAGACACCGAAGTTGATGTTTCAAGATAGTGATAGCAATTTAATTACCGTCGCTGTACCCAAACACACGATGCCGAACCTTTGCATTACTTACATGGTATTGTCACTGGATGGCAGCAATGCTTCGAAGACAACGATAATCAAACACAAAGAGTAGTCTAATATTCTCAACTTGATGATGCCAGGTTTCACAAACATAGAACAAAACCGCTCTCACTGACGTGTTATAGATTCAGATTTTACAGCCGATCTGACAGAATGAGGGCGCCAAAGATGACCCAGATTAGCATAGGCCACTTTGACTTTCACTATACGTGAATTGATCTCATCACTCACACCACCACCAGTACTTATGAAACTACACATATACACGAACTTTGCACTGGGAATGTGCAAAGCATATACCATACCTACAGGCACTAATTGCCAATTGATTAAGTGCGGATTGTATGACTTGGGTATCACCCGCATACTTAAAGTAAAGAAGTCTTCCTCTAAACAATAAATCCACACTACCATTTTCTACATCCATCAAAACTGTTACCAGAACGTTATCAATAACAAAATTCAAGTGGAATGTTGACATTGTGCAATCTTGTCTAACTCTATTACTTGAATAGAACTTACAACTATATAATATTGATTTCAATTACTAATTAATAAAACAAAATAAAATTATTCAATTTTACAATGAAATAAATATAAACAATTGACTTCTATTCCTTTTTTTTTAATGATTAAAAAATGAATTTAATGATCTTTCAATTTGTTGATAAATTTCTTTTTCAATTGAACGTTTAATGATACCATCATATAAACGAAATTGATTGAACATTTTAAAAAAGATTGTAAAAACACCTTTACTATCAAATCGAAGATTATTCCAATGGATAACAGTAACTTTGTTCACACGAATTGGTAATAATACATTATTGTCCATTGGTTGTATAAGAAGTAAATCCAAATATATTTTGATTGATTTAATTTTAATTTCAACTGACTAAAAGAAAAGAGTAAATGAAATGTGAAGAAGAAAAAGAAAGAAGAAGAGAAAGTATACTTAGATATAAAAAAAAACTATTAAGTATATTAATTGTAACTATAGTATAAAGATCACTGATGACCTGCTTGAATATCTCGGCTATTTGTTCTTGCCATCTAAATTTTTCAAGAAGTTATCTGTTTTTCAATAGTTGAAATCATGAGCCAATTGAAGCTAGACCATCATGGGATATCTGTGAACACTGGACGGCCGTTTCATCCTAGTATGGGACTTCTCAGCAGTACGCATCCACGATCTCGCCCCTCACGAGGTTAGAACCCAGGACTTGTCAGTCTCGCACACAAGCGCTTAACCAACTAGACCACTGAGCCAGTATTCAACGGTGTTAATATCTAGCTTCAACCAATCCACGAAATTGTACCACCGTACACCATTGTCTTCAGTGAGTTGATATCTCACAACAGACCTGATTGAACTCCACCGGTCACAGCTTCTCACTAGAACTCCAGGAGTATCTCTTGAAGTCAGTCATTAGTGTTTTGTTTGTTTTAGCACTTCAATATGTCTATTAACCATATAATTTATTTAGGCGCGTTTATAAACTTTGTACAAGTTATAAAAAAGTATAATCAGAGAGATCGTGATGACTGGCAACATACATTAAAAAGAATGAATGTTAGTCAGATATCGTTTTCTGAATTGCTAACATCTATCCAACTGGTGATTATTCAATATTTATCGTCATGATTAAGCAAAAAAATAAAAAAACGGAAAGTTATTGAAATACTTTGTTCTGAGAATTTTATATTCTAACGAAAATATCATATTGAATAAAGCCATTAATTTTGATGGAGTTTTGTTTTCTGAGCCGGATGGTTTGGTCATGGAACTTTCATCGTTCTTCTGAATGACATCAGCACAAACTTCAGGTAGACCTGAGCTACAAATCTCCACTATCTCATAAAGCCATTAATAATAATAATAAAGCCAGTTAGAATCGAGAGTATATTTTTCGTTCGTTTTTGTTGTTGCTGTGAGGACTTTAAAAATGAATGATGTTTAATCTAAATTATATAAAATACCTATGTATAATATATTGTGGTGTTATTATTGTCAGGTAGAAATGTTACTATTCAATGTGTCAAATCGCCATTTATTTCTATGTAGATTGTATATGTCAAGTAAAATATTGAGTTTTTGTTTCAGTTCATCTTGTTCATAGTAAACTCTCAAATAGATCACTTTATTAATGATTTTAAAAAATAATAGGAGAGTTAGTTATGTAACAATGCTAATACAGATAAATTTCTTTTTCTCGCACAACTTCCCTCATACCGTAGTATTGTAATTAAGTTTTCTTAATTCTTCAACGAATTTACTGATAAAAATTTTGTTGACAATAATGAGTTCTTGATAAAAAATTATTTATAGGAAAAATGAATAGTGACCAACAGTGGGATCTAGGACACAAGTTTCATCTTATTCGGAACTTATCAGTGGAAGAACCTGAATTCCAGTATTGTTGTTCACAATCAGACTCTAACTCAATACATTTCACTTCAAATTTAAATACATTAACCACTGAGTTTAGGTACAAACAACGCTGAAATGTCAATACATACAGCTTACAAGTTCAAAATAGGACGAAATGAACATTATATAATCCACTGTTAACTATCGTCTATTTATTCAATAAAATCTTGTGAAGAATGACTAAATCGAGACAATTCACGCAAGCTGAGCATATGCCAACTAGTGGAATAACTCAAACCTTTTTAATAATGATACTAAAATATCTATGGTTATGAAAAAGATCTAGAAAGAGACCTTTAAGGTGAATTGATCGACATATTACAGAGCATCTCAATAAATCTGAGAACCATATATCAATCGTTAATTTGCAAAATGTCCACCAAATGTTTCAAAATGCTTCAGACTTCATTGTTCTTGCATTTTCATACAAATTGCATTCTATTCCCGCTCTTGCTTTCTTGATCTTCCCCCATCTTCTGCTTCCAGACATTACATTCCTGACTCGCGTCATATACTACTTATATCAATATAAGTAGCACACGCCACAATGGTAGCATTATTTCAGAATTTTGCCCACCAGTTAAATAAACTAATAGATTCAGAACAGTTTCATCAAAAGTTTCAAGTAACTAGTTAAAAGAGAAGCAAATAACTATTACAAGAAGATATAAATAATCAATGTTTCCATGATTGCATAACATAATCTGAAGACTATGACCTATAGAAAATATATGTGCTTTGTGGAGATTATAATTAATTTTGTGAGAAAAAGTAAGTCAGTCATAATCAATGTAAAGCCTGGTAAAAATATGCATCAGTCTAAACTGCCATACAGTACTGACACAATTTAAGTAAAATTAACAAAATGATTAGTAAAGAGATATAATGGAGTGGTAATTATAGTCAGAAAGACTTCAAATTACGAACATAGTTCCAAAAGACAGAGTGAGGATATATTGATGAGGAAGGGTTAAAAGTCAAGTTTTATCATAAGGTAGAATATGTTTATCATTGTGACTAATTTTGAGCGATGTCGACTGTCTTCAGCCCATAATTGTAGTTATTACTTTGACTTTACCAGGGTAACCAGCTTCTGGGAATATGGGTTAGATCAACAGTCAATCATTTCATGAACTGATATCGCTTCCTGGTTTAGATACCTTCAAATTCCTTCCAACTTACTCGTATACGGACTAATATTCTTTGTCAATGTAGGCGATGGGTAGTCGTACATAAATTAAGAGAAAATCAGCTGGACTTTAACCCGATCTAATAATAATATCTTGGAAATTTATTTCGTGACAACTAATCTTGTTAATAAAGATGATCTTCAAAAATATTATCGTTCGAAATTAGAAAAGTATATTCCAAAAGTGATCTTTATTAAAAAGTGATATCAGCTGAACAACAGTTTAGAACCAAGCAATATTAGTTGGATATGCTCTTCTAGCTTGTGATTCTTAATGAATACCGTCACAATTATAAAACTATACAGGTTTAGCACTGACCATGATATTCTTGAACTAAAGACTTACAATTCACTAGTCCATATAACATACTTGGTCGATCGAATTGTGGTATGGCATTATCCATATCCATTGTTGAAGAGTAAAACAATAAAGATGAGAATCATTTTAAAATTCTATTAACATCTTAATAACGTTATCAAGTATCCTAATTACTTTTTTAATCAGTCATTAGACAACTTAATTAAGAACAAATAAGGGGTTAAATGGAATGAGACAGTACTTTACCTGTGACATTGAATGAATTATGCCAAAAAATGACTGCATTTTGAAAATAGGAGAAATAGAATTCTGATTCGGTGGTTGGATGATAAACCTACTCACCATGAGATCTTGTAGTGTTTGGTACTATATGAAGCATGCTTTGGTTATTCTACCCTCCGGACAGTCCAGTTTAGTCGTATTTCTTGAGTCATAATTTGATCTTGCCAATTATTCGCTTATTAACCATGGACGTTTCTGAATGAGTGTATGCGTGTGTTGCTTACCCTATTCATTACATGTCTGCAGCCCATTTTTGTCTGATTATAAATACTGAGTCACAATTGATCAAATCGTATTGGTTCATCTGACCTCTCAATTCCAATTTCCAGCCTTTCATACCGAATGTCTGTCTGGACTATCGAGTGTACGAAATATACGTATTCAAAATTCATTCTCGTATTTGACTTATCCCGTTATTCTCTAACGTAAATTAGGTCGGTAATTATGTACGAGGGTAGCCGAGATGTATACTTCGATAACATCATCATATGATCTAATTGGAGTCAGATTACAGGACTTCAATTGGAGAACTGGAGAAAAAACCAATAACTTTATACTGCCATCACACCCTAACACTGTGAACAGTAGAACTTCTCCCTCGGACCTTAAGTTATTGATTTTAGTCTTAAAATTCTCCAACGAACCTGCTTGACATTAATAGACCTAAAGGAACAGGTGTTTCAGACAATGCAGCTTAAATGGGTCGTCACGATAATTAAACCCGAATACCACATCAAGATAGTAGCTATGATCTCAAGCTGCTGACAAGTGCTACCTTGCAAGAAAGCTGAGTTCAAGTGGCTTTCTGTAATTTACATCTATCTACATTACATGAACTATTCTAACTTATAATATTCAACTTTAAAACAATAGTTAATACTCTGAAGAAGTGACTAACATTAAGTCACAAAACGTCAAAAATAAAATTTTCTACTCATTGAGATATAAATAATATAATTATTATTACTAGTTAACACATTTAATTACCCGAGGTTTAGTAGCAAACATGATCATTTTCATTTTACCATTTATAACAAGATAGTCAAATAATAACGGAAATATCATTCGTATGTTTCCTGATGGTAGATCAATAATATCAACTGGTTCTGAGAATTGTACAGCAGATAAACCACTAATTCTTATGTCAAAAAATTCAGCAGTACCAAATTTGATTGGATTACCAATTTTGTATGCACTGTCTTTACCATAATGAGTTAATAATTGTTCCATATAATATTGTAATACATTACTTGTAAGTAATGAATTACAAGTTAATGCTTGATTAGATGTCGTATTGTAAATTTCATTAGTTTGACATGGAACTGGAGAATTGGAGAAAAGAAACCAATAACAGTTTAGTATATTACAATATTTATAAAATATATTAGATTAATTTTCTAGTTCCTTTTGAGAAATGATGTTAGAAGAATCAATCGGAACGAAACGAGATCGATATAACACCTAACAAAGCATTTCTGAATTAGAATAGTCATAATCTAGATTAGCTGAGATTATCTACCACATATAATTCCTTTTTTCTTCCAATGATTCCGTTAACCACATAACAGAAGAATTTAACGACAAACAATAATCTAGTCTGTATACTACCAGAATCTAAATGATTCGACAAACTGAATTGGTCGAATAAAAAATCGAACCTTAATAGAATAAATTTAGAAAGATTAAATTGCTAATTAAATGACTGAGTTCTCGAATATGTGTTAGAACTATTATTCACATCTAAATTGCCTCAAGTGGACGACAAAATAATCATTCTAATGGTTAAGAGTTCAGCACGAGATCACGGGACCTTTGAGAAGCTCCATTCTAAGATAAAACAGATATCTGGTGTTACATGTTTTTTAACAGTATCCCGAATGAGATTAGTCTACGACGAATAATACTAAAAATCTTAACAATATCCACGAAACCCTTCAAATTTATGCGTCTTTAAATAAAATATTAGGATAAATGGACGTTTTGTCAGTTAAATAAGGAAAGAATAAATTAAGGAATAAAGTGCTTGTACAAAGTAACCACAGAATTCGCATCAAAACTATGTTCATTTATTACTTATTCACTTGCCACACTTAACTAATCTACTTAGTTGGTTAATGTCCCAATACTAAAACATTGTAATATTAGTAATCAATGGTTGACCTGCTGTAGGATTGACAGTAACTCACAATTGATTGACTACGGAGTAGTGACCAATTTCATGTCTCTATAGTCTTTTTAGTGCTGACCGAATTCCATAGATGAAATTGAGACATCGTCACTAATCTAAGTAACTTTATATCTTGTGTACCATGTTGCCTGTAAATGTGAAGCTGGTTGATACAGGATCAAACCTACCAGGGATCATAAGTTCCTTCAAGATTACAAGTACATCCTGCTGACTAGTATCAAATAATAGGAAAACTAGGTCTAGGTGTTTTTGCCGACTGCCTCCAACCACCTAAAATTTAAGCCTGGTGCACCCGATGTATTTTAATCACTCAGACTACTGACCATAATGCCGTTTGATCGACAGAAGTTGATCAGCACAAAAGGACTAAACAAACAAGATATCGATCACTATTCATTTGTAAATCAATTATATGTAAACTTAATCTTGAGTTAAGTGTCATTCTCAACTGTTAATACTTCAGTCTTGTTTTTTCTTTCAAACTATACCTCTCATATTTAAGTCTTTATTGCAACTGAAATTTGGTCCCTTTTTTGTCTCGTTTTCTGTTAATGTTCTCTATCTCTGTGTTTATTTCAGATCTTACTTCAATGATGATTGACAGGCTATTCTAAAATATAATCTTTCTGCATACGTGACTCATACATTTAGAAATACTTCATAGTCAACTGATGTAACACATAGTAATGGTAACAATAGTAAGACCATACAAATCTGTGGATTGATCCATTGACCGAACCTCATAAGCACAGTAAATTTACATGTGAAAGAAAATTTTATCAAAAAGAAATAGTTGAACAAAAGTTTTCTTCTTTCTTTATTTACTGTATACAGTTATTGTACTCGACTTTAAGTGATACTGTCTGACTGTTCTCACCTAAGCTAGATAAACGAGGTTTAAACCTGCTACCTATCGGGTATATATATATATATAATATTTCAAACAGCTAAGATTTCTAGTGATCAAGTTATTTAAAAAAGAATGAATGATGAATCAAACTAATAAACCTATTTGCAAAGTAACGCCAATGTATGTCACATTTTAGTAGTTATGACTGAAATGTTAACATTTTCGAAAAAAAACTGAGAATAAACCCTAAATCTAGGTGTCATGTCAGTTTAAACTCAACATCAGTGAAATGGTATCTGCAAGATTAATGTAAGTGTCATTTTAGATGAGATCTAAAACTTGTGTCAATGGCGTCCTGTTGATTGTGTTCAACTAAATAACATCAAACCTAGTGCATGTGCTACGATGCTGAATCACTTTGGCTAGAAGCCATATTTTAACCGGATCAATAAAATTTAACCACCATTCAGTAGTGGAAATGTGAAATTGATTAACACTAAATGAATTAAATGTTGAAGTTGGAATTTACCGACTTTAATCTGTGGAATATAATACATTTTTTGATAAATCTTCTGACTGAACTCTTGTATTGGTTCCCTAAACTCTTCTAATAACCCCAGGTTAAATATACACGACAACTTGAACACGGGAGAAAAGATGTGAAGTATGGAAAAGGACGCTTTACTCCACGGTTCGTTCTATGTACAGAAAATTTAGAGTATTCATAGTACTTCAGATGACCTTGGGCTTCTGGAAGGTTTTGGAACACTACTAAACATAGTAGTTGGATAAGTAATCATCCAATCAGAAATGTGACATATGACTCTTCACTTTTTAGATATTTCTGTTAAACTTCTATTCAACGATGATTAGATAAAAATGTATCCTAGAGTTTTCAGGGCCTTCCGGGGCATTTTTCAAGGAATATTTTGGATCTCATCGACATTTTTAAACAACTTTACAGAATATCAAGTAAATTCTTGAGGTCGTTTTAACTACTGTTTAACTAACATTCCACACTATTTCTTAATTCATGTAGCTTCAATGATGAGACTATAATTTATGGACGACCTTTTAAGGAATCCTAAGTAACCTTGAAAAATAATACTCAACCAAGAAACAGTTAGTTTAGACTAAAAATATTATGCAAAACCAAAGAATTAAAGTGGATATACTTCTTTGACATGGTTCAAAAACTTTCCAATGTTAGAAAGAGGTTCAGAAGTTCTAAAATCGTAATGCATACGGTAGACGAACTCATCCATATAACTCCATAATGGTCGGCCTCGACTACATAGCTTCAATATTGTTTGTGTGCACTCCGGTTGTGTTAGCTTGTCATTTTTATTACACATATATCTCTACAAAACCTATACCACTGAACATCCGAAACTTCAGTAACATCTGCGAATGTTTCAGTCAATGTTACTGGTGCTCTTATTATACAGTTCGCAACAATTACCATAAATTGCTCAATCTGGATTGAGCGAAAAATTCCTACTCTAGCAAAATTCTTCCTCCAACATATATCACATCGAAACACAACATCATCACAGTAGTCTGCACAAGGTCCACAAGTCATATGATTATCACAATTAAAAAAATGAAGGAACTTCTTAGTAGTCTCATTTATTGTATCCGCTCATTTATCACGTCTTCTTTAAAATCCTCTGTGAACCGATCGTTCGTAAGAATCAGGTACTGAAATTAGCGCCATGACCTTGAAATCCCTGAAACGCTTCTGATTAGCTCATCCATAAATTACAGTCTCGCCCAAAACGAATACTGAATATTATGGTATATAAATTAAGATTAATACAAGCGAGTTAAGAAATGACATACCGACAATATTGTAAATTAATAAATATATAATCCATTGATAAATCCAATTCTTCATATTATTAACATGGTTTAATCTAATGAAAATAGTTTCACAATTATTCATCCTTGACTACAGAATATAATGGTATAGTTTAAAAATCATACATTTGATCTATAGAATATTATAAATAAAATATGAATGGTTCTTAATTTTGTTTATATATTTATTGAATGAATGGTCGGTCATTCTACCAATAAATAAATTGATGTTCGTATATTGTAACTGAATTATTGTTATTATTAATGTAAAACATCTTTAGAGATTGTTAGATTTTATAGTTTATATCACAAATTGACCTCAGTTAATGTTATACTTGTGGACTGCTGATTAGAAGGCAGTTTATTATCGACCAGACCAAAGACGCGTAAACACGTAAGAATGGCCCAGAGTTCTGATTGGCCCCGCTTCCCTGTCTAGCCCAGCCAGTTAAGTCCAGAACGCAAGTCTCAGCCTCTGAGATATGAATCGTTATATTTCAAGCATACTCTGTTTATATACCAATCAAGCAGACCACATCCCAACAGTTAAACAGCCAATGAACAGACAGTTTCCCTGTTCTAGTATGAGACATGTTAACAATGCGCACTAGAAATTTCATCAGGTTTCGAACCCAAAACCATCAAGTTTAGTGGCGAATGTCTAACCTGATATATTTCTAACCTCATAAAGATCTTGTATTCATTAGTGACTAATTTCAAGAGGCGATTTTCATAGTTCTAACGAGAAGCTGTGAACAGTTGATTTCAATCATGTTGAGTGTAAGACAGTTACTTACTGTTGGGGATGTTAGATCCACAGAACTCACTTGGTAAATGCCTTAATTTTGTAATTTTATTCCGGAAATCTGAATTTCCTTGTTTTCGCGCTAGAAGCGTACTTTTCACCTTCATGTGGTATTACCCACTTGGGAGAACCTTTAGCGCTATTGGTCAGTTATGTATTTTTAGTATGCTATTTTTGCTACGATTCCCAAGGACAGTTTTATGCTATATATATATATATATATATATATATATACTTGATTTGTATCTGTTATTATTCACTCGCGCTTCTGGCTTACGGAATATACTTTCCCGTTCCAAGCTTGGACTTCTTCCTCTAGTTAGCGGGGCTGGAACGCATCAAATAGCTAGCTTATTGGTCTAAGGTCACAAGTCTTTGTTCCGTTCGCATACTAAGTGAACTCGTAATAGCTTCAAACCTAGCACTTACCAATGATACGGGAAGATCCTTCTTAATATCACGAGTTGATTAGAATAGCTTGATATGAACTAACCGAATATACTATAAATGATTTTTCTGAAATTTTACAAATGTGCATCATGGATTCCACTGTTAGGCACTATCCATCTTTGCTCATAACTCTTACATTGTTTATAATTTCATTTTAAGCTGTCGATAAATTTCATCCATTCATTTGATTATCCAACTGCTTATTTCAAGTCCCTTGATGCTTTGCTACAACCTTAATAGGTGCTTTAACGATACAGAGAGCAAGATTTAGTTCAAATGATTAGGACTTCAACTGGTCTGACTCGTGAATGGTCTAACAATTATCTTAATCCTACAAACAATTATGTTTAAATATCTTACATAAATTATATATCAGTCTACCATCTTATTACAGAAGACAGCTATCTTTACTGGTTAGTTGTCCTACATTCGATATCAGTTCAATAAGGGCTTTTCGTCCATAATTCGGTTTTATTTTGAGTGCTTATCACTTAGGCATATTACTTAAATCTAGAACCTTCCTGTTCACATGTTAATTGTTATTTGTCACATTATATTTGTTCTTTAAAGTTATATTTGAATTGCAAACAACTTTGCTGTACTAGATCAAATAAAGCGTGTTTACAATAACTTTCGTACAAGTTCATTTTTATAAAAGTCTACAAAAGTACGTTAGTAATTTTGTTGCTACAGGTTATAAGTAATTTATGAGAAACATACAATATTGAGTCATAATTAGCTAGTGGGAAAAGACAATGAACTTTACTAAATATTTGGGAAATAACTTAATATTGTGAATTCTCTTCCATTTTCAGTACTACTTTGGCTTTCACTGTGTGAAATGCTTATACTTGTGTAAATAAACCATTGTCTCTATTGTTAGGTAATCAATTGTTGAGTTGGATACTGCATGAGTGCGCGTATAACAAAAAATTCGGAGAATAACAATTACAGTATACGTGTATCACGTAATCTAGTAAGCAGTCGAAAATTATGGTATTTTATTGTATGTTTGTGCCGAGGGAAAAATCAGTTTTCATTATGTAAATTACAGTCAAAACATAAATGAAATAGAATCAATTCATGTTTTTTACAATCAAACTGTTCTTGTCGTTCTTCTTCTTTACAAAAACTTTTACTATAAAACAAATAATCAATTTTAATTCATCTAACAATTATACCGTTTAAAAATCTACACTTTTTTCAATGTGTTCAATATATGCTAACTGTTCATTAGTTTGTGGTGGTCGGTAATCAATATAATGCTTAAAAATCGTATACTGTTCGTCCTGATAAACGTTACTAGATAATGTTCCTGACGATGTATTAATCAGAAGGCGAATAAGAAGTGTTGATTACGTTTATTATTGCATCACACATAGATAATCAAAATCACAAGTACGCTAAACAAGCATGAAAGAGTAGTGCGAAAAGCAAACATGAGAGTGAACAAGATTAAAATGTACATATATACACATAGGGTAATGAATAAATCATCGAATCAATTAAGTGACTAACAGTAAGACTAGCAGAATGAATATATATATATAGGCAGTAAGCAATGGTCAAACATACCTATTCATACAAGTGCAACAATAATAAAGGTACAATGATATAAGATAACTTGTTATTGTACGAATAACTCTATCCGTGTTAAATAAGTTAACAAAAAACGGCTTTATCAAATTAAATGTGAACAAACTCGATTGCACGTGAGCTGCTATAAACTATTTGGATGAAACTATAATATATGGATGAACTTTGAGCGACATTACAGTAACCATGATAACATCCACTTACTAACTAGGAAGACATGATGACTATAAAGCAATGTAAGAAATTAGAATTATGATTTACATTTGATGGTTAGGGTTAGGAACTAGATTTAGGGATTTCATCATGAACTGACATTACCTAAAATGCTAAGACGCTATTAAGTCTTATCTTACACCTGATTGATTTGTCCATAAATATATAGTCTCGCCGCTAATTGTTTAAATATATATACATTATAAATTATTAAAATAAACCTTATTATTATAATAAATATACTCCATGTTATGAGTTTATGTCCGGCCTTTTATCACGTGATTTATCCACTAATCAAAATACGACTTATACAATCTTAGCACTGTGCCAAACCAATGACGTTCGACCGGTATAAGCAGTCTAGCGTCCTTATTGGTCCTATGTCCGCCTAGCCCGTCCACTTGAGCCCAGAACACCAATACCAGCTTCCAATATGCGAATCGAACCATTTATTTAAGACATACCGGGTTTATACATCAATCAAACAGACTGCAACGCACCATAAAATAGGAAATAACATTTGTACACAATAAAGCCAAAAAGTGACTGTGAACGTGGGAGGCAGTAGTCAATAAACGGAATATAGCTTAAGAGCCGTAAATCGTACAATAATAAATTATAGGTCAAAATAAAGCTTATAATAAGAGGAATATAAATGTACATAATCTAGTTATTGAATAGTTATACCATAAGAATGTATAGATAATATTAGTCAATTAATATGTCTCAGTAGTTACTCGTGAGTTAATCTTCGCTCGGATATAACACTCCATATAATGAAAAATAATAAACCAATTAATAAATTATTTTCACTAGGCCATTGGCAATAAGATTTTTCAGTTTTTGATCTATATATTTTTAGTTGCCATTGGTTGATATTGATTTTTTATATAACAATTATAAATTATACGAATATTCGTCAAGATTACAACGAATAGTTTGACAGAAATTGGGCGCCTAGTATAGAGTCCATTATATGTGGAAATTATATTTAAAATAATCTCAGCGATTGAAATTTAAATAATTCCAACGTTTCGTCCAGCTAACTTGTCACTAGCCCTAAAATACATGCTTATATCATGATTGTTTAGAATCCACTTGATTTCTTCCGATGTTTCGCTACGGTATGGGATGACCACGGTGTACTTCCAAAGTTTTCGTATATATTCTGGACAATTATAAATATTAGAATCAATTATTTGACATTATGAATAATTAATTGACATTTTTCATTCATATAAATTCTTTCATTGAATATAGTAGGTGAATAAAATGTTAAATTAGTTGTACTCCATTCAATTAGATTATTAGGCGAGACTCTATTTTATAGACGAGCCAATCAGAGGCGTTTTAGAGATTTCAAGGTTATGGCTCCAACTTCAGTGCTTTATGCTAACGTACAATCGGTTCACAGGGGATTTTATACAAAACGTGATAATTGAGCGGCTATAACAAATAAAACGGCGGGACTATCATTTGTGGACGAATCAATCAGGTATAAGATAATAGATCTCGGATTTTAACGCGAAAGCCTTTCATCCTGATGGATGACCATTTGGCTAAATAAAATTTCTGGCATTATAGCTGATGTCAGTTCGTGATGAGAATTCCATATTTAGTTTCTAACTAAGGCAAATTACGACAATTGTTGCGAACTGGATAATAAAAGCACCAGTAACACTGGCTGTATCCAGGTACCACAATATATACGGATGTGTTGGAGGGCGTACAGATTCCTGTATAGGCTTGGTTATGTGCATCGTGTCGTTATCCATAAGTAGCATTTTGTGCATTCATCAACCGGTTTGCACATAAACAATATTGAAGCTATGTGGTCGAGGCTGGATGGATGATTTCCTCTACTGCATACATTACGATTTTAGAACCTCTGAACCTCTTTCTAACCTAACAAGTTTTTGAACCACGTATAAGAAGTATATCCACTTTGTTTCCTTGGTTTTGTATAACATATTTTACTTTATACTGACTGTTTGCTGATTGACTAATATTTCTCACGGTCATTTAAAATTCGTTCAAAGGTCGTCAATAAATTAAAGTCTTGCCGCTAATTTTTCTAATTTCATATAATTTACACCCAATCTTGTGGTTGGGTGTGTTTCTAGCAGAAAAAATAATAGCTTGACCACCCAAGTCATTGAAAACAATCCAGAATCCCAAAGTGTAAAAAGCAACTGCGCTTGCTACCCCAACCACACTTAATGAATGGGCACAAATTATTATTATTATTATTATTATTATTATTATTATTACTATCATAAAATTGTCCAAATTCATAGAAACCATTGAATAATATAAAATAAATTAATTTTATTTCTTCTATATTATTATTACTATTATCAATATGGCTTGGTAGTTTTCATGGTATCTGTACATAACAAACACGATTTTGTTGGACATGGATATTACCACAATATTTGTAGTGTGTCAAATGATGAAATGATTTTGATGTAATACGTAGTAAACTGAATGTTTGATCATGAAAATATTCCGGCCGATTAAGTTCTTCTTCAATATATTTTTGTAATTGTATTAATTGATTATATGTAGTTACAGATTTATTCATTCGTTCTATAAATGGTAAATTTAATCTAGACCATGTATTTGTATAAGCATTAATATAATCTATATGATACCATATAAAATTTAAAGGATGTTTATTATTATTATTTAATGATTGACATACATAAGTACCAGAATCATGATATGGATCAAATTTTTTGTAGACTAATTCATTTGTTCTATGAATTCAACATGGATCATTTATGAGTGTATTAGTTAGAACTGGTTCAAGTAAATCTCTATTCAATATCCATTTATGATCATAGAATGTTTTATTACTTAAATGAAATATTGTTTGATTATATGTTTTACGTAGAATACGATACCATTGAAAATGTATTGGATTATCATTTGAACATAAATGACAAGCTAATTGTAAATTCATTGTAAATTGATCACGTTTAATTAATCTAATAATATGACGTTGTTTAGCTAAATTCAATTGTAATGCATAACATTTGTTTAATTCATTATTATTATTATTGTATATAACAGTTTTATTATTTGGGCAAACGTTTAAATGACTGGAAATTGGAATTAAACAAAAATGAAAATACTAATAATAATGATGAGAGTAGTATGACTGAAGTAAAATACATGAAACTTATAGTAAAAGTAAATAACTAAGTTAAATTCTTGTTATGACCTTGTGTTTTTTGGAATGATCGATTATATTGTGGATTGATCAAATATAATATCTTACTTTATAATGAATGAAATAGGATGGTAGACATTGCATTCATACTAACATGCTGAATTTCTTTTCTTTTTCCAACTAAACAGTTATTAATCACATTCAAGTGTAACCCCAAAAAACGGAACGAATTTCACACAATACATGTTATTTTAAGACAACAATTTCAAGAGATACAACTAGTAATATATTTTAAATAATTTAACCAGTACACTGTTATATCTAGAGCTTACATTCTTAATATACCGCGTACAACTTCAGCACCCGAACGCTAGAACCCTCCAAGTCGCGAGTTACGAGAAGAAAGACAAATCAAAAGAATGCTATTCCAAACAGTGTCAAATATGGTACAAAACTATCAGGTGTTTATAGTTTTTAGTAAAAGCGAAATCATCATTATATTCACCCAATCAGCAAACAGGGTTTTTTAGCATTTATCCAATAGGGAAGCTACAAGTAGAGATTTTAGAACATTCTTCCACAAGATGATTACCAGTGGACCGTCCTCACATACGCGATCGATGGAAATCAAATAAACATAACTTTGATTTATTCAACAGTATATGGTGTAAACAGATAGAGACTTATAAATTTGACCAGACACAACTGTGGCAATCTATGATTGGGGACTAGGCTAATGGTTGGCTGGTTCTAAAAGTGTTTAGTGTATACATCCCGGATACCCTTGTATATAATCGTCTACTTAAATCGCTGATGAACAACGGAATTAAATAAGTCAAATACGAGAATGGATTTCGAGTACGTATATTTTATACAATCGTTGACCCAGACAAACGATCTAAGAAGCGAAGCGAAGAAAAGAGATAGAGAAGCGAAATGACGCATAGTGGAGTAGGTGTGTGAGCAAACTCAATTTAGCCACGTCTGAATCAATATTTATAGTCGAACAAAAATAACTTACGGACATGTGATCAATAGGATAAAATGTGCATACATAAATGTTCATATAAAAAGTCACGATTAATAAGCGAGTCACTAACATGATGAAAACATGACTCAAGAAGAATGAATAAATTGGCTTGTCCCGAAGCCAGAATAAACTATGTGGGTATAACATAGCAACCGATACTACAAATGTTCAACATTTAACCAATAAATGTCAAGTTCACACCCTGATTTACCTACTTCTATTTGATCAACTGACTAACACCATGGGCCGTCACATAAACGTTACAGCCCCATGTCGAGTACATTATTAATTAAAGAAGTTGGGTTGCATGACGGAAAACCAGTTGAAAGTTATCAAGTTCCATACTCGTCATTCAATATTCTCATACGTTTCAAACTATATTTAAAATTTCGCTTGAATATAAATTCATACTTCCTCAGGTAGTAAAATGTAGGAAAGTGTACAAGACAAATAAATAATCCTCATTTATTAACAATGTAAAATCTTCTTGAGAATGTTGTGAAAATAATTTTTTAGAAAAAAATAACTGAAAAGTAATATATACAAATTGGTGAACAGTTAAATGGCAAAGAACGACAAAATTGATATATAAATATATAGGTAGAGAAGAAGGAACGGACTGTATTTGACTTCAAGTATATATTATTCCGAAAAGTATCAGGTATTAGTTTAAAGCAATGAAATACTTAGTACTGAGGTTTCAAACCACCTCTTTATCATAGGACATCAGGTTGAGATGATGATGAAGTATTTCAAGGTGATCAATCTATAACCATACCCTTTCCTCCTTAAATTTACTCAAACCATAAAAATTAAATGTTTCAAACTGGATCTTTGAATTCAAAAAGAAACAATGATGAATCTTTCTTTACCTTAGTAACATCATCCTTATCTTGTTACATCACTCTTATTTTAACCACATCATTTTAGTTGTACGAAACATGTTTTTCAGATTTCGGGTATTTTCTTCTGAGTAATTCCTATATTTGACTTTCTTGGTTTGATGTAAGAATGTACTCTTTCTATGCTTTCCATATACTTTAGGTAGAACATGAATCATACAGTGATCCGAGCTAGACAATGGTGCACGTTTACGAACCACATATATACCCACATCATTAATGAAAACAAAGTGTAAATGAGCATCCAAACCAGTAGGAAAATCTACTACATTTTGGTGACCTAGTGATGAAAGGAAGCTACAGTCACATGAATTGAAATCAACACATGCAACTGAAAGTTAGATGGAGAATCCTGGTGAGTGACCTATGGCTTCTCCATCAGGGGTAATATTTGATTTTGTATAATATTGCCTTACACACTGTATTTATTTCGGACGTTTTTTTAAAGACATCTATTCAATCCTATTACATTTACTCGACTCTTATTCAGTCCATTCTAATAATAAATATTCACATCTAACCATCAAGTTCACTAATTCGGTCTGGGCACCAGGGCAATATCACAGCCCAGCCCACATCTAGTATATAAAATATGATAAATGATTAGATTTTATAGGTTTATCACTATTATGCTTAAGGCATAAACATATAGATTTTAAACAATTTCAAATTTTACCATACTATAAATGTTTGACATAATTAACTGATGTAATTACATATCAGTATTGTAAACTTGTGAAAACGAGGAATTGCCGATGGTTACATTCATAAAACAACATGTAGTTAATTATACAATAATGAATTCTTTAATTATTCTACAATTATTATTATTATTATTGTCGTTATATACTACTGATGATAAACTAAAAATATGCAATTTTGATATACCCAATATAAAAACTAATAAACCATGTAATATTGAACGTATAGAAAAAGCTGGTAGACGACATCAATTCTTATTATTTAATGCAAATGAAATCAATATTACATTTCATTTATTTTGTCCAATATGTCCAGATGAAAGATTAGATCTATTTGAATGGAATTATATACCACATTATAAAAAGTATATTATATTTATTAGATCTAATAAAACATTATATGAAAGTGATACTATGCTTAATAATAAATTATTAGAAAGAATTAAACAAGATCCATTCAATGATCTTTGTATTAGTAAATCTAATTCACAATTAATTGGACAAAATATTAATGCAAATAAATATTTAGGAACATATGTTTGTCAATATATAAAAGATAAAATGCATCCAGCTAATTTTATTTGGTATCATTTATATAGAATTGGTTCATTGAAACAAAATTCTAAACTAATAAACATATCAAATATACAACAACTACATAAATTACATAATCAAATGAATATTACATTAAACAATATTACTGAATTAGCTAATTATCATTTACGTTTTATGACTATTATATTTAAAATAGATGAAGAAAATGAAGTTAGAAAACATTGTGACAAAATTAAATTCAATCAATATAGACGATGTTATTTGAAAATACCACGATTTGAATCAGAACTAAAAGAAACTATCAAGAATCATGACAACAACACCATCACCACCACCACCACCAACAACAACAACAATGGTAATGATTATGAAATGATGGAAATTAATAAAATATTAAGATTATCATTTGAATACTTTACACGATTATATGATTCAAAATTGAATGGTTCTAAACAATTAGCTATGAATAAAGCTAAACGTTTAGGCTTTAAATTATACATTGATGATCATTTTATTCATATACCATGTGAATATGAATTATTACAGCATATATGGATACCAATAATAGATAAATTTTTACTTACTAGTAGACATATAGAAATTCATGATGAAATAATATGCGATCAAATTGATCCAATCATCAAATGGATCAATTTAAATAAACAAATATATCAAATGAATAAAACAAAAACTTTTCTCATGAAAACTATTCAACAGAATTCTTTTCATTTATCAATACAAAATCATCAATTGTTTAATGAATATCAACAAAATTTAATAGTGAAATATAATCCAAATTTAATGAATTCCAATATATTTTGGATATCATCAAGCAATAACAAACATAATTATACAATAGACATAGAGAAAACAAACTTACCTTATATTACAAATACTTGTGATTTGAAATTTGGAATTCTTCTTAAAACTAATAATGGTACATATGATTGTTGTCATGGGAGAAATTCAACTTTTAATCTGATGATGATTAGTAAAGGAAATGACATAATTATTGGTGCAATTATTTTAACTGTATGGTTATTGATATCAATAATTATTTGGGTACTTTTTCTTTGTTGTGTAAACTATATGAAAAAAAAATCGAGTTGAATTAGTACCGTTTGAAACTGTACACAACAATAAATATATATTTTAATTGGAGTTTATTTTTTTAAAATTTTTCGCGAAATATCATCCAGATAGAAGCGGAGTAGTTTCTATGAAAGCATTTTTGAACAATTAAAGTTGACTAGTTGAATTCAACTACAATACAGCAGTAAATACTCATTATTAAAGACATCCACAATTATCTACTTGGAGATTCATTTGTTGAAGCAGATGATGTAGTCCTATTTGAAGAAGACGTCTTCTGATTGATTCAAACAACAATGTCAGCATGCTTTCGGTGTTTCTCTCTCCAAATTCAAGAAGTCACCTTAAGTTTAGTCTACATCAATGCATGAACTAATAGTAAAAAGTGAAGTAGTTGAGTTTGTCGGTGCCTTCATTTATTTGAGAAGTTTCATCAGTCCTGATGAGTTGATATCCAACGAAATCTCGGTATGGATTTAGTAAGTTTGACTGGCTCTTGTCAACTTGCGAGATATCTATCTGCCAACTAGAGGATGAGTATACTGAGCAACAGTTTATTCCGTCCTACTTTACGACTTTGAAACGTGGCCCTTAACATAGATGATATGCGCAGGTTACTAGAACTCGATCAAAAATGTCGTGTATTTTGGGACCACGGAGTTCGAAGTACTTTACTTAGACGTAGAGCATTAGATAAAGATGACAAATCCATTGATGAGGTAGTAAGTGTTTATCGACACACTGTTGGGACGTATATTACGTATGGCGACTCAGACTCGCGGTGACCGCTGGTGTTGGAGTAAGTAGGGAGAAAGCTGTTTACGGGCAAACCAAGACATGGTATTAATCCATGGAGTCACTGACTGTTGGATCAAGTCATACAGGTTGGTGCAGACTACTTTGTTGGGCCCCATGAGACTACAGTAATCAATGGTTGGAAGGTTCGCAAGACATTGCTCAGATTCGTTCGTAATGGCGCAAGTGGATTTGTTTTCTATTTTCCCACTTCTGAGGATTCCCAAGCATGTCATTAAAAGTGAAAGTGAGTATAGGACAGATATTTTGTCAGTCCAGGAATGCCCTTGAGGGAATGAGACTGACTTTTCACTTAATTCAAGTATAAATCGAAATCAAGAAAGTTATTATCCCAGTAGACACACTTCGTTAGAACAGTTGACTCATATACTTAAAAAATTATCTCACCCCGATGGAAGTGAATTTAAAATAATCACAGCCTTAGGAATCTTTGTGTGGTGACCTCTGATATCTACTGGTCCTGATGTTAGAAATTCGAGAAAACTCACTCACAACTTAGTGATGCTGTTGATACATTAAGCTGCTTAAAATAACCCTGTGACAACAAATTGAGTCCGACTACTAGTGATTTGATCCTGTGAACTGTCCACTTTAACTGCTTGACTAAAAAATCTGTTATAAGAACACTAACCACATGTTCAGATACTTCTTTTTCCCCAACATCCAATGAGAAAATACGGCAAGAAGATATTAGTCCAAACGTTTGTATCTAAATGAATCGCTAACTCATAAATGTACATATCTAGAGATATGAACAACTGAACGACAACGTACAATAACTAAAATAATACATTTCGGGTACAAAATAAGGATATTTAGCTCATGATTAGATTAAAATTATTTGAGAAAAAAAAGAAGATATGCTGAATAAAATGAAAACCGGCGATTATGAAAAAATGAAAATCATATGAAATAACCGTTAATAATAACGCACAGAAATTAGGTATACTAATGCCACCCCTACAAATGCTTTTCATAGTTTGTTGCTTTTTCTTTACTCTTCTCACTAGAATAATTTGTGAAAAAATACTTTAAATAATATTTGGTAAAACAAACATCATTTTATAATCCAAAACTGGTCGGAAAAATAGAAATACAAAAAGTGAGCGAAGAGGGAGGGGGTCGATGAGCAAATTCTAAGTAATTTACAAACTAGATTTTAAAATCGTAAGAAAGTCGATCACTCCATTTCTTATTTTCACTGGTTAAAATAGACTCGGATACTGGAATGCTACCTTTACGAATGAACAAATTAGTAAGAAATAAATTGAAACGATATGAAAATGCATTACTACTGATATTAGCATCATGATAATTGATGATAGGATTGGAAAACAGTAAATAACTTAGATATATATATGACTTAGATCTAGGTCTATTGTGCCAAATAGTGTGTAAAGGTCGTCTGAAATGCAGCGGTATATCCGAATCAAATAATAAATAATTTACTAATCGATACACAAATAATTGTTTGGCGAAATTGTATAGAAAAATATCTAGCCTATTTACATTTTGTATTTCACGCAAAGTAGACTGATTTAAATTGGGACGGATTATTGTAGCATGTGTAAACAATAATCTTTGTTTCATAAAAGATATTTTATTAAATTCAATAAATGAACGTTTAAAAGTAATATGTAAACATTTTTGTAATATGTATTGTGAATAAATTAAGTATTCACTTAAACCATAACAACTGATAATACTGACAAGATTATGTTTAGCACTGTTTAAAAGAGCTAATGAAACTCGTGGAATATGGGTTAATACTGTAACATTGAGAGGTTGAGACCATTTCGTTAAATGTTTATAACATCCTAGACTAGAAAGGTTTGCTAACATTCTTGTTTGACGATTACTTGCTAAATTGTAAGGACAATCTATAACAGATTTAATGGATACATTAGACGGGATATTTTCGACAATTTCTTCATTAAAATAACATGGTTTATAGTGTTCAAGTGGTGGGTATTGTTTATTACATCGAAGAGTAGCTGTATGCCATGTAGCACCGCGACGTATATGTTGCCATTCACTAATAAAACGATCGACAGGATCACGTAACAAAGTAAAATATATGTACCTGAAAACAGAGATAAACAATTCTAGTGAATGCAATTTTCAGTTAATAGAACTTTAGGAAATAGACAGTAAAAACAGAAAATACGCCTGTTATTTAAAAAAATGGTTGTTATAATGTAGTATCTGTTACTTCCAAACTGATATAACTGGGATTCTACATAACCTCCAGTCAAACATCACATACTCGTCCTTTTCTCACAGGTCAATTCAAAACATAGTGGTTAGGTCAAGTACGATAATTATCAGCTTGCACTACTTAATCTATGAATTTTCTAGCATCCATAATAGTTTCATTATACACAGATCATGGGATTCGGTTTTCTCCTGAGCGAGTTTTAAGCCTAATAAAAATCGACTATTTATAAAAATACAGTCTATGAGATGTCTTTGATATCTGGCTAGATAAATTGACAGTTCATCGACATAATGAAGAGAACGAATTACGAGTGTCGTATATGATTCGATGACAATAACTTGTGACACTGACTCTCCAGGCTTTTAATTATTTCCCACGTTGAAATGCAATTAATCTGAGACTTGAGTAAACATTCCTACATAGGGCGAACATAGTTGAATAAGATGCCCAATTGCGAATTAAAATGATTTAGTCAGCGTTATTTTCCCAATACACACATATTCGGTCTATAATTTTACATCCCAAACAGTTTCTAAAGCCCTGGTTAGTGCTACCGTGATATCTGTCACATCTTCCGACTCTTTAAGACTCATTTGAGGCGGCTGTCTTTTTTTCATGTCCTGGTGATTGGGCATAAATCAGTTGTTCAGTAAGTAATACCTAGCCTAAACTTTTGTGTATTCCATAGCCCCTACGTCATTTCGATTTTTAATATTGCTGCAAATAATCAGCTAATTACGAAAAAATTCGAACTTTCCGGCTAGAGCATAATGTGAACAATTTTAGAATTGGTGGATAATGAGTAGAATGTACAAACGTGATGATAAGATTAATGATTTATCTAATAAATCGTTAGAGCATCTAATTTACATAAGCTAGACCCACTTAAAATACTTTAGAGGCTATATTTTTCAAGTTATTATAAAACATAGCAAGAAATATTGAACATTGAGTAGTAATAATAATAAATAAATAAATAAGAGTAAAATTGGCACAACTCTTACCTTCTTTTAATAATATGATGGTCCACTTTGTTTAGCTTGCTGTCAATACATTCCGTTAATTCAGTTAAGTCAGCATGAAGTCCACATACCCAGCCTGTAGAATATCTGCTGACAAGCCAAGTATCACCACTTGGCGTTTTACAATTGCAGCGTCTTCTGAAAAAACAGTAACATGTTTTGCCCACTAAACCATCTTTAACTAAACGACGTTCTAGAAGTGTACCGGCAGTTTTCTGAATATGGATGAAGACGAGCACAGACACATTACTTGAATTATCTCTCGTATATGTCATCAAATGCTTAGTTGTTTTTGTAGTTGGAACAGCATACAGAAAACCTGTACGGTCATTCTGATTATGCATACAGCTTCTTAGTAAACATGTCGGACTATACGGCGACAATACATAAAATAGCAATACGATCCCGACGATTAGTCCACAGATGCAAAATAACTTATCTTCCTTCATGTATGAATCACATAAATGATCTGATGAAGATCAGACGTAAATTACGGATCACCACACGGAATTTAAAACTGAGCTTCAAAAATCCACCCTGGCATAATTTGAAATTCTATAAAGCCACCATTTTCAAACAAACGGATTTTCTGTAAAATCTAAAACAGAAAACACAAGTGATTCATTCAACAAAATAACTATGGCATGTATTGTCAAACAGCAGACGAGTAATACCTTTCACTTTAAACGAATACCGAAGTTTTCAGTATGTAGAACGTGGATTTAGCCTATGAAATCCAGATACCAAGTTCATGCGTTTTTCTGGATTTGAGCATGTTTACTGAGACTACATGAGTTAGTCACCTGATACAGGTTAAGTAGTATCGAAATCCGTGGTATTGTTTACTGATTGAGTGTTCAAATTAACACATATGTAAACATACCACACTTATGAATATCCATATATGACTGCAAAACACGTTATTCTTTGCAGATAATCACCAAGTCCACCAATTGTTACTTGATATGCTTACCCATTATCACACGTACAAACGTTTCAAGTTCAGACGTGCCAGTTATAGTATATATTATACGATGTGTACAGCTTATTGGAAAAAGATTAGAATAAAGCCTGGATATGATGGTAAGGTAGACTGTTTTTTCAGAAATGCTATCATATTCAGACAAAAATGTGAGCAATATTTGAAACAAATAAGGGTATTTTCCCATCTGATTTCGTATTTGGCTGTTACTTGGGTTATATGCTTGTGCAACAGACAATAGCGCAGAATCACAAACAGTATACTTGCACGGCTATATGCTAGCATCTAGTGAGAAGCCAAGGCTACGACAATGCAAACATATGTAATACCCAACCCGATCAGATAGTTATAGCTATATAATAGTATTGCTTTAGAAGTACTCCCCCAAGCTCCCAAGTTTGGGGAAATCCGCAAAGTCAAATGACATTGATCAAGATTAAAGGGGAATTCTGGGGTTTTTGTGCCAATTCCCCAAAGTTCACTATAGCGGCTTCCCCAAAATTGGGTGCTCGGGCCTGAGGGGATTTATGTAAATTACCTGAAAACCTAAAACATGTAATGTTTAACGTCCAGTCTGAAGTTACGCTTTGTGTTAAGGGAAAGTGTGATAAAATCTGGAAGAGAAAGGAACAAACTAAAAACTGACCCGACTCAGTAAATACATAGATTCCGCTTAGATCTAAAAACGATAGCGACCAACAGCGATTAGAAACAACATCGAGGTAAGATCAATACGACCTGAAAATCGGAAATGAAAGCTAGTCGAATTCGACCACCACATATGTACAATATGAATTCATATTCTTATTAATAAGAAACATATTTTGAGAAGTACGGTAGAAACCTGTGACAAGAGTCAACCAAAATCACAAGTCTTTTTTTAGGTGTCTTGCGAGAGTAATGGATGAAGTGTTACGCAATAACAGTACAGAGGAAGAAATTAGAAACCACAAAACAAATGAGAGCGCGAAAACACCGTACTTTTTGGATCATCATACAGTCCTTAAGACATTCAATAAACAATATCCTTTGTACTTATGTCGAGCTAATATAAACTAAATTACTGTTTTGTACTCACTTCTTGTTGTTGTTGTTGTTGTTGTTGTTGTACAATTACAGGTGTTCAGTAGGGTGCTTCATCCACCTATCTGTATTGAATCGAGTGAGTTTGATCATTATTTGTGGGTCTGTGCACCGTGAAGTATGAGTGTTTGGAGAGGGGATATACCGCATGTCATATGTAAACGACCAGTCATGTCATGCATCTTTCTATCTATTTAGTGGTTAGATAAGACATCTCATAGGGTTGTATTTGATATGGTTATTAATTTTTCCCATGGGATTACATCATATGATAGCTTTTTATTGCCATCTGTCCGGCCGTGTTGCCCTGCCTTCCTGAAGCTACCTTGTGCTATAATGAATCAATTGGTGGTAGACCGGAAAAGCTAAGCACAGTAACTTTTAGGTAAATCTCGTGTCTTTAAAGTTGTTTAAAAGGTTTCAACGCGCTCTAGTTAATTCTATTGTTTTGATTGAAACTTCCGGATCAAAACTGCTGTTTTCACTTTAATTGAATTTATTTAAATTAAAAAATTCGTCAAGAGTGTTGTTTTTCTCAAAAATAATTTATCATCGGAACTTTTGAGTTTATTGGTTCTTTTGTATTTGTTTGCACTTTTCTAGGTCGAACAATCTGCAATTTCGCACTTTTTCCCAGTCATCAGTTTCTTTCGTCTACGGGTAGTGTTTTTGTTTTGTTTCCTTTTGAAAACTTCTGACTGATGAATGGACAATGCGAAAAAAGAAATTTACAATGCCCAGGTTGTCGATAGACTCCGCCCGGAGTCCCACCGGCGGCTGTCCAATCAAGCACAAAATGCGCTGATAGGATGGGAATCTCATGGACCAAGGATCATCAAAGCCTCCTTCAAAACAAAGAAAGAGGGCATTTCAATGAACATCATCCAATGCTATGCGCCTACCAACGACTACAATGAAGACGCGAAAGATCAATTCTACAATAGGCTGCAGTCAATAGTCGAGAAGTGCCCAACAAAGGACCTGACCATTCTGATGGGAGATTTCAACGCCAAGGTTGGAACGGACAACACTGGATATGAAGACATCATGGGACGACACGGACTGGGAGAAAGAAACGAAAATGGTGAGAGATTTGCAAACCTATGTGCCTTCAATAAACTGGTCATAAGCGGCACCATATTCCCACTTAAACGCATACACAAAACCACATGGACTTCACCGGATCACACCACGCAAAACCAAATCGACCATATTTGCATCAACAAAACGTCCAGGAGGACTATAGAGAACGTGAGAACCAAGAGAGGAGCTGATATAACATCAGATCATCACTTGCTGATCGCCAAGATGAAATTGAAACTTAGGAAGCACTGGACAACGGGGCAGACAGTATCACAAAAGTTCAATACGGCCTTTCTCCAGGATACTAACAAACTCAACAAATTCAAGATAGTCCTCAGCAACAAGTTCCAGGCCTTTCATGATCTACTCAATGGAGAAGGATCTACTGTAGAGAGCAACTGGAAGGGGATCAAAGAGGCAATCACTTCGACATGTCATGAGGTCCTGGGTCACAAGAAGCACCACCACAAGGAATGGATCACTGTTGATACACTGGATAAGATTCAAGAAATGAGGAACAAGAAGGCAGCGATCAATACCAGCCGAACAAGAGCAGAAAAAGCCAAAGCACAAGCTGAATACACAGAAGTAAACAAACAAGTGAAGAGGAGCATCAGAACCGACAAACGTAAATATGTGTAAGATTTAGCAACGACGGCGGAAAAGGCTGCAAGAGAAGCAAATATGAGACAATTGTATGACACGACAAAGAAACTCTCTGGAAATCGCCGCAAACCAGAACGACCAGTGCAAAGCAAGGAAGGGAAGGTAATCACCAACATTGAAGAGCAACAAAACAGGTGGGTAGAACACTTCAAAGAACTGTTGAATCGACCAGCTCCACTGAACCCACCCAACATCGAAGCAGCACCCACGGACCTCCCAATCAATGTTGGCCCACCAACAACTGAAGAAATCAGCATGGCCATCAGACAAATCAAGAGTGGCAAAGCAGCAGGACCAGACAACATTCCGGCAGAGGCACTAAAAGCAGACGTAGCGGCAACTGCAAGGATACTCCACATTCTCTTCAATAAGATTTGGGATGAAGAACAAGTACCAACAAACTGGAAAGAAGGACTTCTGATCAAAATACCGAAGAAAGGCGATCTCGGCAAGTGTGATAACTACAGGGGCATCACTCTTCTCTCAATACCGGTAAAAGTCATCAACAGGGTATTGTTAAACAGGATGAAGGACTGCGTAGACGCCCAACTTCGTGACCAACAGGCAGGATTTCGTAAGGATAGATCGTGTACAGACCAAATCGCAACTCTACGGATCATTGTTGAACAATCAATTGAATGGAATTCATCACTCTACATCAACTTCATTGACTACGAAAAGGCATTTGATAGCGTGGACAGAACAACACTATGGAAACTTCTTCGACACTACGGCGTGCCTTAGAAGATAGTCAATATCATACAGAACTCATATGATGGATTACACTGTAAAATTGTGCATGGAGGACAGTTGACAAAGTCGTTGCACCAATCTAATCACAATTGACGGACAAGATTTAGAAGATGTAAAAACCTTTACATATCTGGGCAGCATCATTGATGAACAGGGTGGATCTGATGCAGATGTGAAGGCGCGGATCGGCAAAGCAAGAACAGCATATTTACAACTGAGGAACATCTGGAACTCAAAGCAACTGTCAACCAACACTAAGGTCAGAATTTTCAATACAAATGTCAAGACAGTTCTACTGTATGGGGCAGAAACATGGAGAACTACGAAAGCCATCATCCAGAAAATACAGGTGTTTATTAACAGTTGTCTACGCAAGATACTTCGGATCCGTTGGCCAGATACTATCAGCAACAACCTACTATGGAAGAGAACAAACCAGATCCCAGCGGAGGGACAAATCAGGAAGAAGCGCTGGAAGTGGATAGGACACACATTGAGGAAAGCACCCAACTGTGTCGCAAGACAAGCCCTCACATGGAATCCTCAAGGCCAAAGGAAAAGAGGAAGACCAAAGAACACATTACGCCGAGAAATGGAGATAGACATGAGAAAAATGAACAAGAATTGGATGGAACTAGAAAAGAAGACCCAGGACAGAGTGGGTTGGAGAATGCTGGTCAGCGGCCTATGCTCCATTGGGAGTAACAGGCGTAAGTAAGTAAGTAAGGTTGTCGATACCCCATGGAAAGTGGCGTACGGTGAGGTGAGTACAATTTTTGCTACTACGAACTACTTAGCAAAAGTAGTTGCGTATGGTTGTGTCAGCAATGCTGCTCGGTCGCAAACCGGTTGCTTTCCGAAGCCATTGCATTCGTGAATGCTGCTAGAAGGAGTATAAGCAGGTATATTTGAGACATTATCCGCTCAGTCGATGTACAAATTGATGTGAATTTACCCCAAATAAGCTCAGAGTCGATTGACTTACATGGGTGAAAAGAAGAAGGACGGCCTATGAAGAGGTCTGTTGGAAACAAAAACTCAAGAGAGGAAGCTTTCTCTGTGTCCCGCCCTTCAGATGGCAGCGGGCAGAAAACACCTAGCAAGCTTAACCACAAGGTTGCGTGTGCTTCTATCAGAGGAAACAACGACTTGACAACCCAAGTCATTGAAAACCATCCAAAATCCCACACTGTGAAAAGAAACTGCGCTTGCTACCCCAACAACAGTTGATGAATACGCATATATCAAGAATATGAAGCTACCTGGTGTTACCAAAGGGAAACCAGTCCCTCTAAATTTGCTGATAAATCAGAGACTGATAGTAATGACAGGTCAGTTGTCTTTCATGGAGCCAAGTAGAGTGAAAACTCAGAGGCGGCCTGCTTGAGCATCTGGGCTACCTGTTCCTGCCATCTAGATATTTCAACAAGTTATCTATTGTTGTTTGTTTTAATATATCATTATGTTTATTAATCGCATGACCTATTCTGCTGCGTTTCTGAAAAGTGTACAACCTTTCGTTGTCAAAGTTACAGAAAACTCAATAAGAGACAATATGGTTGCTGGCAATGTAGAACGAAAAGAATGTACATTATTCAGTTGTTCATCCACTGAAGTGCTAACATCTAACTGGCGATTCCTCAATATTTATCGCCAGGACCGACCAAGAAGAAAGAAACGGAAACTTGTTGAAATACTTTACGCTGAGAATTCTATATTGTACCAAAATTATAATATTGAATAAAGCTAATAATAATAATAATAATAATAATAATAATAATAATAATAATAATAACCAAAAACTCGTTTTGAACATGAAATCTAATTGATAAAACCGCTTCCAAACCAGCTAATGCCTCAAGATATAGCCGAAGTCGCCTTGACACAAAGTTATAGACCAGGTAGCCAAATGGGCTTTAAACGAGATCAAACCAGACTGCTCAATGTAGTATTTAATTTTCCTAATGAGAGGGACCTAATACTATATAATAGACACAATCTGAAAGGGTTTGGAGGTTTTGTCCGCAAAGACTTGCTGCTCGCGGAGCGTATAAATAGACGAGAAGCTGAAGAAGAACCGAAACTTCGGTTAGATAATGACGAAAAGGACCTAAAAATTGTAAATTTTCGTGTGGTGAGCCTTCAACATAGCATGATACCAAAGCCTTTTAAATGGTCTTCAGATCTGCCACATGAACGCCTTGAGCTTGCTCAACTAGGTGTTCAGATAGACCTACCTAGCCGGATGTAATCACCTTCACAGAAACGTGCCTGACGCATACTGTAGACTGCATGGAACCTGATTTTGATAGTGTCACGTTCGTAAGAGCCAGGAGAATCCAGAAAGTTAAAGAGTAGCTCTGTTCATTAGAAATACTATCCTGTTTAACATTATTGATAACGTATCCCATCAAAGTAGGAC